CGCGCGCCGGCCGCGGATTGGCCATCCCTGGTCTAGGGTCATAGACACAGCATTTTTTAACCCCTTATTTAAAGACCAGCCCCGGGATAACGAAGCGCAATCACGTGACCGGACCTGCTGCCAGTTTCATAAGTTAAGCCTAATTTTACAAAAAAAAAAAAAAAAAAAAAAAAAAAAAAAGGTATAAAATCACCATTTTGATATTATGACTTCAATTTTTGAAGTTGCGTATTTAATGTACTTGTTTTTAATGTGTATTAATATAAAGAACATCACATTAATAGAATAAATTAAAACAGGCAAAATACTAAAATCATAACTATACACACAGAAATAAATATGAAATGAATGAGAAATATAAATATGAAAAAAATTACAAATACGAAATAATAATAATAATAATAATAATAATAATAATAACTAAGCAAGAATTACCTGTAGGTAATTAAATTCCAATTTAAAAAATCTGCTGTGTGTGAACTAATTCAAAACAATGATCGACACATAGTCCTATACTGCATATTTCGCAAAATCAAAATACGTTCCTTGCTTTCACTTTTCCTTGGTTTTAGCGCATACAAAGTAAGAAAAATTATAAGCAGGGAAAAAGTAGGAAAACATGACGCCATGTAACTAAAACACATACCACTAATACAGTTTTCATATAAATTGACAAGCATAATAATTAAATTGAAAAGTCAGTCTTACAGTTAGCTATAGCCACAGTTGGTTCATTAATCAATGAACAATGCATTGTTACTGGAAAGAAATTTAAAAAAAATCTGAATAGCAAGGTGAAGGCATATGCAAAACTTGCTAAAATGAAAATGTAAGATGATACTTACAGGGTCAAATTAAGACTTTTATAGGCCCTAATCAGGGCTGTAACAGGATAATTGATCATGATTCATGAAATCAGAAAAGGATGTGCCTTGCTCGTGCTAGGAATTCTTTGCTTTACACAACAGATCATGATTCATGAACTGAGAAAAAACATGCCATCTTAGTGCTATGAATTGTTTACTTAACACTTAAACACAGCAGATTTATCAAACCTGTTTAACTTATCAAACTTCTGTAACCTGTTTAGACTGCAAAGTCCAAACAGGTTCACCTTCTGTATGAAGGACTGGAGTAGTAGTAGTAGTAACTACACAGGAGAAGGGTTAAAAGTACCCTTTAATTAATTCTTTAAAACTTACAATGCGTCAACTCGACGCTAACAAACTTCGCCTCTGCTTGGGCGGTAACTGAAAATAAGATAATAAACTAAAAGTTGAAGATATTAACAAGTGACGGAACTAACCTACAGGGCTCAGCGAGATCCCGTTACTTAAACCCCTTTCGAAACTAGTGGCAGGAAATAAATGCAATTAAGCCACGTGAACCAGCAATAATCAAACGTATCTACAGCAGAGATTATGGTTATGCGCCACTGATCAGGCTTCCGACCTAAGGTAAAACCAAACGGAATGATGCCTGATCAGTGGAAAAAACAACAAGCAGCCACCACAACAAGGCAATAGCTGAAAGACCAAGTGCCATCAAGGAGCCACCACAACAAGGCAATAGCTGAAAGACCAAGTGCCATTAATTGCTCTTAGCTCTTAATCAGGAATGTCACTGAAAAGTACTTTACAAAAATGATTACAGGACATCTTGCATAAGATGCTACATATGACAATAAGAAAAACGTCAGTATATAATATTATTGCACAATAATATAGTGCATTTATTAATAATATGCATGAATAGATAATTTAATGGTATTCCATAGTATATTGCCTTAATATTATGAGATAGAGCTATGATAAAGTACGAATAGTACTATAAGTTAAATACGACTGAATATGAAACGTGACACATTAAATTTATGTTGTTTGACATAACTGTAGTAATGCAAAGTGTTTTATAACACATAAATAGTTATTTACGAATGATGTAAATAGGTGATATATGAGTGACCAAAATACGATAATACATTGCGTTAGGTGATTACATTAGTTGTTTTAAAACAATGCCCCACTTAATCTACTCATACCTGACAAACATCACAGCAAATAAAGCATTAAATGAAATGATTTAATGAAACAGTTATATATGTAAAATGACACATATGATAATAATTTAAAAATGTACTTGACGCAGGAATACAATAACGATATGCAAAGTATTATAACAATTAAATCAATACTTGAGGTGTTTATGATATAAATTAAAAATAATAATAATAATAAATAAATAAAAAAATGCTCAAATTAAATTTCTAGTAATTCGGTGCAAATATTGCAAAGTAGTAAAAAAGGCGGAAAAAGGGATGCGCATTTAATTTTGGAAAAAAAAAAAAAAAAAAAAAAAAAAAAAAAAGCATACATAAAATTACAAACAAGGAAACTGAAAACTTTTGAAAAAAAAAAAAAAAAAAAAAAAAAAAGCAGAGGGGTGGTTATAGACTAAGTCCCCTCTTCTACCGAAACTCGGCTTTTAAATACTTTCTTTAAAGTAGAAATTTGCATTCCTTCACGCGTGCTACAAAATTTAAATATTCTGGCACTGACAATTAGGGAAATGAATTTTAACTTGTTAGTTAAAATAAATAAAAATCCCTACAGTATATAAAAACATACTGCTGTTTACTGATGATATGCCACATAATACCACAATAACAGACATTTATTATGCAAACCTATTAACTCATTTGCGACAAGATATGAAAGTGAAACGCCATAGCAAATGCAGGGAGGAAAATATTACTTTTGCACTATAAACGCTCAAGATCTTAGCACGAAAGCTCCAGATCACATAGCCGAAATACAGAAGTTCAAAAACGCCCATTGTTGGTTTCCTACGCATCTGCACGATCGTTAAAGCACGATGTAGCTAAATACTAGGGAAGGAAATGTTTGTTTTGGAACCTTATGAATATTTTAAATTCGTAAGTTCAACTTCTAGTTCGTTGGTCTTGATATATTGGCAGGAAATATTAGCCGCCAACGGTCAGAGACGTATATAACGTGTCCTCGTTTTCGTACGCATACATCTGTTTTTTTTTTAAATTTTCTTCCTGTTTTGCTACTAGCATTACCCTATTCCCATTAGCAACGTGTTATCGCATTATCAACGCATCTCTCTTGCTATTTAAAAGTTATATTTACCATGATAAGATTCCAAAAATGTTAGTGATGTTACAAGTAACAGAAAATATTTTAAGGGAAAGAAGATGAGTGATTCTTATGTCTATCGTCTTCGGAAATACTATTTTACACTGCGCAGTAAAGGTACTTGTAACATCGGTTCTTACCATAAAATGGTTCTTTCCATTAGCTTTCTAGTCAGAATAAAAATGATTCTTTCCATAACTTTTCGGGTCAATGCAATGCAAATCGCTAACGCGATACAAACAGGAACGAAAAACAGTCAAATATTAAGAATTTAACAATGGCAACGTCTTCAAGGTCTGATTGCTTTAGAACCGTTTTCCTTTTGAAGGTTTTTCTAAAAAAAATTAGATCTTATTAATATTATTCGTCGGATAAACCGAACGCAAACAGACCATTTTCTGGCAATCGAAAGCCTGATAAAATTATTATTTTTCAGAGGTTTTTAATCAATATTCCACTGGCAACATTATTTACTCACCTGATTATAGGTTAGAATTTAAACCTGAGTTGAGTATTTAATAAAACAACCTATTATTTAAAATACGATGAAATATTTAGAATGATTAATTATCGTAGTTTATTAGGTATTCTCTCTCTCTCCTTTCCAAATGTCTTCGGGGTGTAAAGGTTAGCAAACTCTATGCGTATTCGAAAGGTCCAGGTTCCAGTCCCTGCGAGGGAATTGCACATTTTTCCTGTCTCCAGCATCAAAGTAACCTAGTAACTCTACAGTGTGGCCCGCACTAAAAGATGGTGGATGATGATTCTTCACCACCAGGATTTGGCTACTGGGTCCCCTAATTCCCAATCGACATTTAAAATGTATTCCCTCCCTCCTTTTGCATGCTTTCGTGTTGTAATGGTTAGCACACTCGACGCGTATTCGAAAAGTCCAAGTTCGAGTCTCGGCGAAGTCGTTGCCCATTTTCCATGTCTCCAGCATCAAAATAACCTAATGAGTCTACAAATTCTTTGCTTCCAAGATGCATATTTTATTCTCACACAATCGATATTAAAAACCATGGATCTCTTAAAATCACATACTTTTTTCCAAATTACTAATTACTCGGAAGCAACAGTTTTTGAAATTACTAAAATTAATTGGTCTGTCTTTGTTGTTGATAAATCGAAGTGGTTTCATAAAATATTTTTGCTAGTTGTACTTTCGTGTTTTATTTCATTAATTTCTTAGAAAAAAAAATTTTCTTCTAGAGCACTGAAATTAAGAGGTGTGTACTGCAATCGATGGAATCTTGGAAGCTAAGAAAAAATGTATGTCAATTAGGAAAAGAATCAGATTCTTATTTAATGGCAAACGAAAATGAAAATTGTTTTAATATTTCTTCAAACTTTGTACGTTTTCATTAAATCTGTCTGGGAAATCAGTAATTACACTTAATACATAATCTATCCTGCCAGTATTTTCTACGATTTAATGTAATAAAATGCTCAAAATATGCATTATTGCAGATGCCTCCCGCATTGCTGAACAATGCACTCAGTTACTGCAAATCTATAACCAGCCCTGCGAGTAAGTTAAATATTTCTAATTTGTCCTCTATAAATTCATAACACTTGTCTTTAAAGAATGAGATGTATAATCCATGTTTTAATCTAATTTAAAGATTTCTACTTCATTAAAGAATCAAATAAGGCTTTCATAAAGGCCTGAACTATAATCTGGCTTATGGAATATTATACAGAAATTTCTCATATCATTCATTTATTTTCGTCTAATTTGTTGAACTTGAGTTCAGTAACAATTTTAATTACTGGAAAAAGAAATCGGTCTCAAGTAACTAATGGTGGAAACTTGAGAATGTTATTGATAAAAAGAAAGCCCAATATTGACAAACTAGATGAAACTTGCCTTTCTCGTTAACTTTTTGTTTCCTTCCTTTGTATAATTTACTCAAATATGACTATATTTACTACTAGTTTCATTAATATGCAAATATTCCAGTTTCATTTTATTACATATTTTTGTAAAACATTTAAATGAAATTTCCCGAGAGGGCGTTGTACATTCATTTTTTCCCCTCAAAAAGGCCGCTGAAACAAAGTTTCAGAGAGACACTGGGCCAATTTCTTAGTTTACCATTATAGATCCAAAAAGCTAAAAAATATTTTAAAATTAAAAGCTATAAAACTTGCAAGTTAAAAAAAATTAACCTTATCTTGGTATGAGGATTTCCGATTAACACTTGAAACAATTTAAGTCAAGCAGTTGTGATAGGTCAACGAGTTTAAGAAATAGTTCCCAAGAAATTAAGATACAGAATTTTTAGCTTATTAACCAATTATTTTATGTTAATTTGCTTTCTTGTCGTTCTCGTTTCTCGTTTTCCTGCCTGTACATTTCTAGCTCGCGTGGTATTCAAATGAGGTAGAAAGGAGATAGTGTTTCAAGAAGGGTAAAATCAAAAGCAGGAGAGAATTACAAACTGCTGAAAATTGTGTTCTACGACAGATCACAAATCCCCCTGGTATGTTAGAAATAGTAAGATTCACGAGGAACTTAAAATTGTTCAAATCAGAACCTATTTTTATCATCCAGCGAAAAACTTTCATACCATTCAGCGCAATTTATTTAATTCCTATAATGTAAATTTATAATTATGACTATAATGATCCACGTAACAGTCAAAGACCCACGTCTATACTGAGTAAACAAGTCATATGTGAATAAGTTGTTATTTGTGTACTGTAGTACATTTTGTATATTGTAAACCTATATATAGCTTTACATTGTATGTAAATTCTATTACATCACTACTAGCTGTTAGTGTTCATGATCAATTCGATAGCTTTCTGGCTTACACTGTTGTAAATTTTCTAAATTTTTATTTAAAAAAAATGCGTTATTAAGAATCGCAGTTTTCTATAAGTTATAGTCATAATCTACTTCGAAATGAACTCTGTTACAGAAGGGGTAGTGCACTATGCACAGGCATCCTAATGTCTAACACCATTAAGCCGCGTTCACACTGGTCCGTTAGGGCGAAAAGCGGCAAGGCGGAAAAAACGCTCTCCGCGTACGTCTGTTCATACAAGAAGTCGTTGGTTCATACGAGCGCGGCAACTTTCGCTTTAAAAGTTGTCATATGCTGGCACTAGATGGCGCTTCATATCGGAAACTTGGGGGGGGGAGGGAAAACGTGATATTTTTGTGTGGTATTTTGACTTTTACGATTAAATTTTTCAATTAAAATAGATTTAATTTCTGTTCGATTAAAACTTATTTTAGTTTTTGCTTTGTGTTAGAGAAGCAGAATGCAGTGATTTATATTAATATGTGAGAGATGACTGCAACAAGGATTTGCAAATAATTTAATTGAAGAAATGCGCTTGAACGAAACGAAATTTCTTTTAATTACCTCCGCATGACACCTCATCAATTCATTGAATTTCTAGCCCTCATTGAACTATTTATTCAAAAGCAGAACACTATTTTTTTGTCAGAATATCGCATAAAAGAATCGTTGGGAAGATAGGAATAAGATATCCCAGAAAAAGATCGTTGTATATCTGTATATATCTAATTTAATTTGTTTATGAATTTTGTTGAATGATAATTAAAAAATCCTAATTGCATGACTCTATTTTGGAGAGTATATTTTCCATGGGGTAGAATACCATAAATGTTTTTGCATGATGTATGAACTTCCCTTAAATGCATCCTTAAGTGGACTTCCCTTAATTGGTTTAAATATTACGATAAAAAGTATATTTTGTTTAAATATATGTAAGATTTACAGCATTACTAAATTAAATATCGCAATTAAAAACAGTTATTTTTAAGTTAATAAACAATAGCAATTAAAAAAATTGTTTAGTTTCTGCCCTATGTACATATTTTTTTACCTTAAATGGTGTTGGTTTTTGGTTTATTTAATTATCGCAAAGCACACTAGGGCTATCTTCCTAAGGGGAGGGATGCCTTCGTGGAGGACTTTCTAAGGGAAACTGGCTCGTATACACGTTACACATGGGGAAAAACACGAAAACACCCATGCAGCCAGCCTGTTCGCGGGATTTGGACCTCGGACCGAACTACCAGTGTTCAGCGACGTTACCGCTCGGCCGCTGGTGGGCCTTTGCCTTAAATGTAACAGTAATTTCGTCAATTAGTCATTCTTATATTAATGAACAAAAGGTTTATTTTGTAAGGTTACTTTTATGTAAAACTCATTGAAGTAACTTCATTTGATACAATACTTCTTTTTCTGCGTTAAAATTTGAATTCCACAATTAACAAATTTGCTAATGCTCTCGCAAAAGTTCTTTAAATTAATGAGATATTATCAACAAGATTAAACATCTGGTTAAGTTCATATATAAATTGTTCGGAAAGTGGTCATGCATGTTAATAAAAACAAACATGAAGCCATTAAAATGTATAGAAGTATTCCATAAAATCAGCTACATACTAGCGAGCTTCTTTTCTTTATAAATAACAGTTTTCTTAATTTTTTACTTAGTTAAGTACACTGAAGTGACAAAAGTCATGGGATAGCAATATGCAAATATACAGATGGCAGTAGTATCGCGTAGAAAATGTATAAATGCGAAGTGCTTTGGCAGAGCTTTCATTTGTGTTCAAGTTATTCATGTAAAGAGGCTTTGACGTGATTATGGCCGCACGACGAGAATTAACAGACTTTGAACGCGGAATGGTAGTTGGAGCTAGACTCATGGGTCATTCCGTTTCGGATATCATTAGGGAATTCAACATTCCGAGAGTCAAGAGTGTGCCGAGAGTATCTAATTTCAGGCATAACTTCCCACCATGGACAGCGCAGTGGCCGACCACCTGCACTTAACGACCGAGACCAGCGACGTCTGCGTAGAGTTGTCAATGTTCACAGACAAGCAACACTGCGTCAAATAACCGCAGAAATCAATGTGGGACGTACGAGGGACGTGTTCGATAGGACAGTGCGGCGAAATTTGTCTTCCTTGGGCTATGCCAGCAGAAGACCGACTCGAGTGCCTTTACTGACAGCACGACATCGCCTGCAGCGACTCTCGTGGGTTCGTGAGCATATCGGTTGGTCCTTAAACGAATGGAAAATTGTGGCTTGGTCAGATGAGTCACGATTTCAGTTGGTAAGAGCTGATGGTAGGGTTCGAGCGTGGCGCAGACCCCACGAAGCCATGGATCCAAGTTGTCAACAAGACACTGTTCAAGCTGGTGGTGGTTCCATAATGGTCTGGGCTGTTTTTACATGGCATGGACTCGGTCCTCTGGTGCAACTGAACCGATCATTGACTGGAAATGGATACTTTCAGCTAGTTGGAGATCACTTATAGCCATTCATGGACTTCACGTTCTCAAACAATGATGGGATTTTTATGGATGACAATGCGCCATGTCACCGGGCCACAATTGTTCGCGATTGGTTAGAAGAACATTCTGGAAAATTCCAGCGAATGATCTGGCCACCTAGATCGCCCGACATGAATCCCATCGAGCATTTATGGGACATCATCGAGAGGTCAGTTCGTGCCCAAAACCCTGCACTGTCAACACTTTCACAATTATGGACGTCTATAGAGGCAGCATGGTTCAATATTCCTGCAGGGAACTTCCAACGACTTGTTGAGTCCATGCCACGTCGAGTTGCTGCACTTCGCCGGGCAAAAGGAGAACCGACAAAATATTAGGAGGTATCCCATGACTTTTGTCACTTCAGTGTATATTTCTTTGATTTAAAGCCATACATATGTCCTACTAAAGAATATGAGACGTTATAAGTTTAAAAAAAACGTGTAAAAATTATCTCCCTCAAGTAACAATGTTTTCTAGTTTGCGAAGATGAGAAATTTGAGAATTAAAAAACATCCCAAAGAAATTTTTTGGAAGTGTTTAAAAAAAAGCAAATAACGCGAGTATGCTGAGATATTTACAGTACATCTTATGAATATAGACTTGAAATCAAACATAAAAATGACATTTTACGTGAATATAATTAGTTATTAAGAACAATAGCGAAATATGAAAATGATTACGAAATAAAATTTCGTTTCTTCTTCAGCTTCATTAGTTATGATATGCAAGTAGAAGAAAAGTTAGTTCCTATTAAAATTCGTTATGTAAGTATATGCTTCAGATTTTTATGTCATTATTTATAACTATAAAGCCTAATAAAGTTATTTCTTGTGAATTACAATTGTGAATTTTTTTCGATCATTAATGCAAAGCTGATTTGTGTAAAATTTTCACGTAAAGTATATGATTTTTTTTTTTCCTTGGTATCTCTCTCTTTCTCCAGAAAAGTGAACACGTAGGCATAGATGAGGTAAGTGCTTAATTTGAATCTAAGCTTATCCACATTAAGCATATAACAATGCATAGTATTTTTCCATAGCTCGTTTCTTCCAAAATCCCAAGCCAAGACATAAATTGAAATCTCTGACACGTAATGAGACACATTACGTGTTAAAGCAATTTTCGCATCTATGAAAACTGCTCGAAAATTTCTAAACTTAACACGCAAATACCTCTTAGCTCTATGTGCTATTACTGGCTCTCAATACAGCTATGTTCTTCATTTTTGTGTCCTGGTTGTTTTTGCCAAGTTTCATGACAATAAAACAATTTTTCTAAGTACCTAGTTTTAATTTTTTACCTGTGTATTTATTTTGATGCAGGTTGTACTGGCAATGGTATTGAACTTTTGTAACTCTTCAATTGGTTAAGAGTGAAGAAAGTGGTAATGTTAAGTTGTATCTAATAACATGAATTTAATGTCAATAGGATTATCAGGACTGGTATTCCTCTTTACTTGCTTTGGAAACATGAACTGTCCTGACTCGGAACAGGGAGCTTACTAAAGCTATGTTCAATAAATTGTGAAGTAGACAATACACACAGGAAGGGTATACGAAACCCTCTATTTTTCTATCTTTACAGAGATTTCCGGACTTCGGAATACAGAGACCAACCACTTGTGGTCTGAACGTAAGAATATAAAAATATTAACTAAAACTAACTTTGGATTAATATACAAGTGCCTACTTTAAGATTGGCCGTTAATTAACAAAAAGCCGTATGTAGTACAGAGAGCTGCTAAAACTACGATACGTTTAAAATTATCAAGAGGATTAAACCTCTGGCCTTGAAGGCAACCAGCAAACGAGTAAAACTACTATGGCCAGCGGCCTGCTTCTACTAACTCCTTCCTCCCTCTCGCTTGGCAAAAAGCCACAACTTAAATACTTGGCGTTCGCCAGACAAATTTGCATAAATAAGTAAAAGCTTTTAATTCTGGCCGGAAGTAGAAAATAAGAAGTGATAGTAAAGATTTAAAACAAAATAAACGTTAGTAAAACTTAGGATCCTTACAAGATTAATATTAATAATTAAAGCAGCTATGAGGTATTTAGGTCATTTTTTAAATACTTAGATTTGAATGTATATACTTACCCTACTTGTTACTTTTTCACTGTTTTGAATATATATCTAAACAGATGAATTTTATTTACACTCTAAATAGTAAACTAGGAAGTAAAATCCTTTCATCTTATGGTTTACTGCTGATATGAATTTGAATGAAACGAAAAGAAATAATTGCATGCCCAAATAAATGTGAGATATAGGATAAACATCTATTTTTGACCTCTAAAAGTAGATAAGTCTCACTCTAAACCAGGCACGGATTTATATTAAAAAGATATTGCATCTTAAGAAGTAATCCAAGAAGCTTCTGTCATCATCGGGAGGAAAACACAAGGATAAATTTGTGTCGAGAAATCCAGCAGTCAATAAATGTTTTGAAGAGTTTAATGAAAATGCCAGACATTGCATGCCTCAGAATGATGAGGAATTATATATACCAGAAATGATATGTAAGAATGAACATCATAACTTGATAAAAACTGTTTTAAAATATATATTATTCTCTTATTTTGAGATCTGCTGTCACCAAATTTAATACATACTACCGTTTTCTATTTCAGACTCTAATAAAGAAATCCAGAGGGGTATGTAACGCCTATTTGTTCTTATTTCTTAGTTTGTTCTCTATTGTTGGAGGCGTGCTTTTTATCAAAAATGTTCAAATTTCAACTTGCATGAATTTCATTAAATTATTTCAGACAAACTTAATTTTTGCACTTATTTTTCTTTGTGTACTCTACATTTTGTATATTTTCCTCGAATAAAGTTTATAAAAAAATAAAGTAATTTAAAAAGAAACGGAGATCATGCACAGTTTCCCTATAGAAATAAATGCTGTCGAAATTTAAAATTAATAATTAAATATGATGCAAAGAAGCAAATCAGATGACACATAAGAGAAACCTCCGACGTCTATAAAATTTCTCGAATAGTCCGTTCTGAACCGAAATATCAACCGCCTACATAATCTGGCAAATTGCTAACTTTGAAAGCTGTTCCTGTTGCAATGGCCTTTAGATCATTATCATTCATCCTTATCAGCAAATTAATATTAAATCTATATATATATATATGTATGTATTTCATCTTTATTTTATTTTATAAATAAAATTTCCAATTTAAAATTTTATAAAACATTCATCCATTAATGCAGATCGTAATCGATTAATCCATTAATGCAGACCATAATCGATTAATCCATTAATGCGTCCGGTTGCCGTGTCAGCTTATCGTTCAGCTACTTAGTAATCGTTTAAGCATCACTTTGAATTTTCTCAACCTTCAGTCTATTATTAGAAAAATATTTACAAAACAAGCTACTAAAATTAATTTTCATATTTCCATTAGTGATTTTTTAGGCAAACTTCACAATTTCCGGTTCTGGAATTGAGGAATTTTTCAGTTTCTCATATAAGATGAAATTTAAACTTCTGCATTTTCTCGAAAAATTCTCCGGAAGAAATATTTGTACATACATATGACGCAGTTTGGCAAATATTACGGAACAACAACATCAACAAAGGGATTATTTTTTATTGTGAATTATTATTTGTTACATACATACGTATTTTGAGTTTCAACTAGATAATGATCCCCCAAAACAGTTAGTAAACATAATTACAAACGACTTTTTGTTTTTGTTGAAATGAGAATTTCGTAGCGATCGCTTTTAGAAAAACAATTGAGACATTATTTTTTTAGCGATTTTTGTGGCAAAATACAATATTCCAGCAGAAATGTTTTCCATTATAAGAACATTCTACAAGCACGAATTTTAAAAGCGTCTTTAAATAGAGAAAATAATCATAATTTTTCTATAAAAGCCACTGAAATTGGCAATACAGCAAAAAGTACACGTATTAAAATGGTGACGTTGGAAACTGAATATTTGTAATGCACAGGGTTGCCTGAATAATTGCTCTGCGTGTGGTCAATGGAATTTGGCTTATTCCGAAATTTTGGCGACTTCTACTAAGATGGTTTCGATGCTACGTAAGTACGAAATGCAACACAAATGACATTTAGCACCTTTTAAATCTAGTATACTTGTAGGAGAGAAATGTCCAAAATGGCTTACTCGATATTTTGTGTAGTTTGACTTCCATACATTTAGCATTTGGATCAGAAAAACATTAGATATCAGACGAACAAGGTGCTGTCACAGTCCTGACGTCATTCAACACAAATCTTGCATGCGCCTTTAAATAATCATCTGAAATAAAGAAAAAACAAATAATCATCAAATAGCTATTGAATCCTAAAATATTTTACACTTGATTGCTGTACTGAACATGTGTTTTGAAACAAATATAACTTGTACAAATATTAATTTGCTAAACCCCTTTGTAATTCAGTTTGCTGATCATTTACTAAAGTATGACACGAATAGTATTTACGTTATTACTTACAAAGTAGTCAAAGACTTATTGTTAGGAATAATGGGTAAGGCAACTAATCTGAAATTACCCGTTTACATTATTGTAAATAATTCATTACGTAAACTTATGTATGTTCTTTTTATTTTCAGTACAACTGCACTTCTCGAAACATTTGGACCCGTCAGTAAGTACAGCAGTTATAATGCTTTTAAGATCTTGCATCATTGAAGCACTTTTCCTCAATAGTTTAAGATATAATTGACAACAGCTCTCAGTTTTATATTTCAATTTGATTGGGTGAAAGCTCACGCATGCGCCACCAATAAAGAGTAGTAGATCAACTCGCAAAAGAAGCGGGCCAGAATATTAGTGCTTCAACCTTAAGCATAAAATGGCCAAGACCATATCTTACCAATCAGATGAAAGGTATAGGGGATAAACAATGGCAAACTTATTAGGGGTCTATGCAGAAGACTGCACGAATTTTGGCCACAAAAGGAATACGATAGGGAGAGTACTAATTCCTTCCTAAATCAATAAAATCTTATGACATGAATCAAAGGAAAGAGTGGAGACTGAGCACGGTCTGCCTCCGATTTATTTTTACAGAAGGAATTTCTTACTTAATGCAATTGCCATGGAGGTAGGAAGTAAGATGGAGTAGCCCTAAACAGGTTTCTCCCGTACCCTGCTCTGAAGCACTGGAGATCCCTACGTGGTGACCAAAACATTGGGTCATTTACCATTAAGTTCAATGGGTTTTGACGCGATCGGATGTAAATATTTTGTAATTACGTCATAAATCTTTTTCTACAACACTTCAGAGTCTTAGTATATGAAAACAACATATTTTTAAACACTTTCATTCTGAACGGAATTAAATGCTATACTTTTCACAGAACAGTTTTCTCAGAATGGTTTAATTTGAATGAAATATTTTCACAAGTTTTCGTTAATTACATTAGAAAAAAAATTTAAGGTAATTCGATTTTATTCGGTCAAGGTACAAAAATTAAGATCAAAGTTTATTGTATTATTAATATTAAAATTAGGCATTATCTCTTTTCTATTTATAGAGCTTCTTCCTAAAATACTTTCTTAAATATGACATGATTTGTTGGCTTCTGAGGCATCTTTTAAATCGAAAAATATAAGTCAATTTATAATTAATGCTCTATTCGGTTCATTTTAAATTAGAGAATTATTAGAAATTAGCGAAATACTTTAAAATAGTACTTAACTTTATCTGAACATTTCTGAAAGGGAATAAAATAAGGATTTTATTTTTAATTAACCCAAATAAGTAAAACGTGTAAGCCTAAAGTGATTATTTTTCAGATATATAAAATTAAACCGATGCGCTTTAAATGAGCAGCAGTAAAGCCTCTCCTCTAAAAAATTTTAAAAGGTACATGTTACAATAATATATGGATGTGAAAAAAATTAATTTTATTTAAAACATTTCGCGTTTGGAACATAAAATAAAAGTTGCGAATACTCTATCAAGGGTATCGAAAGACGTATACAATTTTAAAGGTACCGTAAGGTATTTTTCATTCTTTAAGCATAACATTTTTGTTAAAATTTATATTTTTGTAGTTCAACAGCTTAGAATTTTATAAAACAAATTCATAATCAAATTCGCTGTTGTTAGTTATCGAAAAATAACCAAGATGTGATTTTTGCGTAAATGTCACTAAACTATACAAATTTCTATTATCCATCAGACTATGAATGTTTCTTTCATGCGAAAGTGCCCCTTTTTCGATTTGTATGGAACTGTCGTGTGTCGAAATACTATCAGAACACTGTCAAGCGAGCTTCTGGAATGTAAACAAAGAACCCCCATCTGTGACCGAAGCTTCGAAGCAGTGCTTCACTTCTAAGTGCCGGTTGGTCACTCCTTCCTTTCTTACCTCCACGGCAATTGCATGTGGGAGAAAAAATGAGATTTTGATTATTTTATTTCCGAATGTCCATTAACGACTGCACATCACAGTGAGCTCCCAGTGACAAATTTATTACCTTTCAAGAGGTATCTAGTTAAAACCAAGCAGATGACGTGTAATTAAAATAATTCAAGTCGAGTTTAATGTGTAAAAAGAGAGTCGCAGCCCGAGACTGCACAAATTTGGCATGTTTAAACTGCTCATACTAAAATGGCACATTTTAACTTCGGCTACCAAATGGCTAATACCGGAATACTAGCGAGCAGAGCTGAGTAGTAGAAAGTAAAGTTACGGGCGTCACTACCAGAAACTTTGTATTTAAAACATTCAAAATCCTCACCTTCAACACACTTGATGAGGACTAACAAAGGCAGAAGTCACTGCATAGATCAAAATCATAAAAATGGGTTACTTAGCATAAAATACTTTGAAATCCAATCACTTAAAAGTTGGGTACTTTGTGCCGCAACGCAGCCTTCGACAGATGACAGCTCTTTCCAACCAAGCCAGAGAATACAAAGACGTCTCCATACTCTTCAATGTATTATTGCAAGTCAACCTTCGGTAAATGTTTAAACTTTTTGCCCCTCCTTTAATTTGCATAACTTTCTGGTCTAAGTAAATATATGACATGAATCAAAGGAAATAGTGGAGAATATTTTAATTAGATTTAGCAGTTAATAAAACTTAAAACAATTATCACAAACTAATAAACATTTCATAAACTTTTCATCTGAATGAATTTGAGATTTGAAAATTTTCATTTAGTAGTTTATTAAGGTTCCCTTTTTTTCCCTATTTAAACTGTGCTTCAGTAATTGAGTATGCAATAAAAACCTTATTTATAGAATGTGAATTTAAAGTATGACAGTAAGTAAATACGTTTAGTAATTTTGTTCTGTGGAAAGATGATTTTATCTTCTTTAAAGTGTACCTGAAATGTGTATAATTAAAATATCGGCTTTGTAATATATGCGTGGGTAACTTAGCCGATGATTATGAATGAATCAAAAAAAAACGTATAGATGCCGATTACTAAAATGATGCGATAAAATCGAAAAGATAAAATTAAAAAAATCTGATTCGAATTATGAATGAATCAAAAATAACGTATAGATGCCGATTACTAAAATGATGCCATAAAATCGAAAAGATAAAATAAAAAAAATCTGATTCGAATTATGAATGAATCAAAAATAACGTATAGATGCCGATTACTAAAATGATGCGATAAAATCAAAAAGATAAAATTTAAAAAAATCTGATTCGAATTATGAATGAATCAAAAATAACGTATAGATGCCGATTACTAAAATGATGCAATAAAATCGAAAAGATAAAATAAAAAAAATCTGATTCGAATTATGAATGAATCAAAAATAACGTATAGATGCCGATTACTAAAATGAATAATACTGTTTTGAAAGGAATATCGATAATATATATTTCTTTCAAATAAATATTAGTGTACAAGGTTACAGGTAAAAATTCTCAGCAAAAACATTGTGGATGAAACTTTCGCGTAAAAACCAACGCAAGGGAAAAACGTCATCACGCAAAACATCGCAGAAGAAAAAATAGTAAGGAGAAAAATTCGCAATTCCAAAGCATCGTGGCAGCAAAATAAAGTGCAAAAGCTTCTCAATTTTAAAACATCGTTGTATAAAATATGGTGAGAAATAAAGCACTTACAAATCATTACATGATGATATCATCTTTGACATCTATTTTTGACTGAAAACATTTTAAGAGAATTTTCTTCTAATGATTTGCGAACACAAGATTAAACAAGTAAAAGTTTTACCTTTCTATTTCATTTTTTGTATTAATCGATATTTTGTTTTGAAACAGGAAGAAGGAAACTTAAGGGGATTCATACACCTTAAAACCCATAAGATGTTCGAATAGGTGACTGTTGCAAGAATTGGGGTAACTTATTTATTTTAAAAGCAATTACTAACAACTTTTTGCAACTGATTACATAATATAGCTGCTTTCTGAAATAGTAATCAGAAAGTTTGTGTTGCCACAAATATTTTTAAATTTAATCCGCTTTGTGACAACATTTTTCGTCATGTTTCCAACTTGCGAACACAGTTTAAAATATTCTGCTTCATAATTTAATTCCATATTTAATATATAGCTTTTATAACATCTGAAAACTACTGTGAACCTAAAATTCTAAAATTTTCATGTTAAATTTTTATTTTATTTTGAGTTTATAAAATGTATTTTATTAAAAAAATTTGTAATGTTTTCGTCCATAAAATTTTTCAATATTAAAATATTCATCAGATTGTTGGTTCAATTAGAAAATAGTGCCCATATAAAGAATTCCATCCAATTTCAAGTATGTATCATTAGCCATTTTTAAAATATCATGCGCGCAAGGTGGAAACATGGCGAAATATTTTAGATATCTAGAGGGTTAAATTACAAAAATATTTGTGGCAACACAAACTTTCTGGTTACTAGTTTCCAAAGCAGCTATATCATGTAGTCAGCTGTAAAAAGTTGGAAGTAATTGCTTTTAAATTAAATAAAATATCCCAATTCTTGCACTAGTCACATATTCGAAGATCATGAGGGGTTTAAGGTGTATGAGTCCCCTTAAGGATTCATAATCTGGAAATCAATAGTATTTAATACTACGTACAGAAGTTAATAATATAAATGTAAACGTATGGATCTTCCTCTTTCTTGCCTTTTAATTAGCATATCTTTTCATGAAAATCTAGTAATACGTTTTATAAAAGAAGTTAATTAGCTAATGATTTTTCATAGTTAGCAACATAAGTTTAAAATTTTATTAATTTCCAGATTTATATTATTTTTATTAATTTCCAGATTTTTAACGATTTAATTTCTTTTTGCTTTTTTAGCAAAAATTTATGGATTGGATTGGATTATTCAGTTATGTCAAAGCACACGAGGGCTATCTGCCTAAAGGAAGGGTTGCCTTTCGTGGAGGGCTTTCCAAGGGAAACTGGCTCGTATACACGTTACGCATGGGGAAAACCACGAAAACACCCATGCAGCCAGCCCGTTCGCGGGATTCGAACCTCGAACCGAACTACCAGCGTTCAGAGTCTTTACCACTCGGCCGCTGGTGGGCGCAAAAATTTATGAGTTAATAGAAACCGAATGAAATATAGAAGTAAAAATATTACTTACTTCTCAGAAATCATTTCGCGAAAATTTGCTCAACACTTTTGTCAGAAAATACATGCCTGCTATGTTACTATCATGATTTGTAAGTGCTTTATTTTTTACTATGATGTTTTGAATGATATTTCAAAACTGCAAAGTTTTTGCACCGCTTTATTTTCTACTTTAAATTCTTAGAAATGCGATATTTTCTCTTTGTTTTCTTTTCTCCCGCGACGTTTTATAGGACGGAACATTCTTTTGTTCTTTTTGCGCGGCGTTTTCTTTCACTATGATTTTGATCGATACCATGTACACATCATAACGGGTACAATAGTTACTTCCCCGAAATGAATTTCCACAGCCATTCTAGAAATGTATAATAAGTACTTTGAATTGAAGAATGTGTGGGATGAAAGTTTGTATAGTATGAATGGCCACGCATCTACTCCGGAGTATATCTATGATAATATCATATTTTGTTATAACTAAATTTTTATCTCATTCACATTCATTTGAATATTCTAAAAATTAAAAAAAAATTTAATATCTTTCAGATGTCAAACAGTGAATATTGAAATTGCTTTCGATGACTTTCAGATAACAAATATTACTTACAATCCCAAATTCGAGGTAAGCATATTTTTTAAAAAAATCTACTAATTTTTATAACATTCGATAAACATTTTTGATATAAAATTGCACCGAAGATGTGAGGGTAATATTGCTTACTATTAAATGTTAAGCCTTTCAGAAAGATGTTATAAAATCCAAAGATATTTTAAATATGTTCTACGATGAATCTGTATTCATTACATATGACAAAGATGATGTGTGTACAGTTCGTACTCTACCTAATATTTTCATTATTTTAGAAATTAATTTCATAACAAGATTTTATATGGATTGATCATTAAAATTGAGAGAATCTGCTCATTTACTGGCTTCTTGCATGCTGTTTCCACAAAATTTCTAAACGTTAACAAGCTATTTTTATTTTAGAGTTTAGAACTTCTCAGTGTCCTTGGTGGCTACATGGGAATGTATCTCGGTGTGTCCATAGTGGCCGTGTATGACTTCGCAGAGATGATTGCTTCTGCTGTTAACGCTATACTAAAGAAGCGACGAGTGGAGAAGAAGAGAAAGAAATTACCTATAAGCAAAGTAATTCACTCACGCATCTCGGAGCTGAAAATTTAGTTCGTCACATTTGACTATCGAGGAGAGTTGGAAGAATTCAGTCACGCAGTTTACAGAAAAATCATTATAACGAATAACTTTAATATCCCTAAAGATACATACTAAACTAATCTGATTTCGTAGCATAGTAAAATTTCGATCTAACGTTCCCGAATGTATAGTTTGCCTTTACTAATCCAGAATGATGTTCTATATAAATAATGAAATTTATTCTCTCACCCATGCTTGCTCGAACTGTTTTGCCCCATTAGTCATTCGTAATTCCCTTTTCCTACGCAGCATTTTCACGTAAGGGTCGTTTGAATTCAAAGTACGGATTGAGTTACCTTTTCTGCTTGAGCTAAAATTCTAGTAACGAGGAAATGAAGTAACACTTTACACGTGTTTTGAGCTTCGCATCCGAGTTTTCCAGCTTTTTTTGTTGTAAGTTGCTGTAAGTTGCCCATATTCTTGATAAGCATACAATATTGACTTCCAGAAGATAATTCTTCTAGAAGACTCTAGAAGATTAATCTTCTGATCTTGTGAAACAAAACAAAAATCAGGAGAAAGGTTATAAGATCTTTCTCTTGTATTCCACATAAACTAAATTAGATCCTACAATGAACGTGGCAAATTCTCGCACAGGCATGAGTAAGTTACCAGCACAGAAAAACAGGGAAAAATAACCCTTTATTTCATTCAAAATGATTAACAGAAAGGCACGATCTTTGTGCTTTTTAATGGCACCGCCAACTTGCAGTGAAACTGAAAAGTAGAAAATAAATCAATTCAAATCTAAAGTAGAATAGCGCAAGATTGACACTTTAAGTTGCTAACTTGCTGTCTAACAGGTTGACTCAACAAAAAACTAACAGGCGGGATGATAATTTGAAGTGGCCAAGAAGCTTACTAGCGTATAGCAACGAAAAGTGCGCTTACTAGCGGAAACGTGCTCGGAATAAACTCAGAGATTCACTCGTTTAAATACTCACTTAACTTCAGATTTACATCCTGGCGAGAAAATGTGAGGGGAAGTTGAGAAGTTCAGGAAAGGTATCAAATTTATGTTAAATGCAAAATAAGGGCAACGCTACAAAGTGTATAAGACCCTTATATTTGAACACAAAGAAGTAACAATGATCCAACTTGGGTTTACATATGCCAGCACTTCTGACTTAACTTAAATACGTAATGTTAAACTAAATTTTATGTAATAGTTTAGCCTAACAGCTCACAGGATAAAGCAACGCTCAGGAAAGGCTCTGGTTTGTAGAAAACCGGTGAGACAAGACTAATGGCTAGAAGCACTCAATACCACAGAATCAAAACGCCACTACGTCACGGTACAACGTGGCTTGAAGTAGGCAGAACACCTTCTAAAATTAACTTGTGACACCTTCACTTAAATAGCACTTCTTTCTCTCTCAGTCTGAATAAACACTCGCTATCTTATTAACATTCTGGTATGAAAGTATGGGTGAAAAGGGAGTGACAGAAAAATATTTGAATTTAAAATTAACTATTAGTTCAAAATAAATAAATCAATTCTCACAAGTTTATTTCTGTCAATTTTCATTATTTTATTCTTATTAGTTTTCAGAGGGTTACAGATGTGAATTTATAAATAGTATGGAAGACGAATATAAATGAATTTATAAATAGTATGAGAATGAATAAGAGATGGGGCTGAATTTCACAGAGACTTACGAAGCTTTGCAAAACTTGCTGAAGTGATGGAGAGGCTAAAAACAATACATCCTCGAAAAGCCCGATTTCCAGTTGAGGAAATATTAAGCAAAAAACAAAACAGCTGTAAAAAGGCATGACTTAAAAAAAATATATCTTTAATATAATATATTTATATTAAAATTGAAAGTAAGAAATGTTATTTACTTACAATAAGTTTCTCATTTGCAGTATGCAGTATAGCTTCACGCCTATAGTTGTTTTCCCGATTCATGGTTGTTTCTGTAGAGAAATGCTTTAACTATAGTGTAAAGCCAGAAAAATGTTTACTACAGTGTGCTTTATTCTATTTCTTTTGAAAATATAGTCATTCTGTTAAAAAATTCATTTTTAACATGTAAAGTTTTCTATATGTAGCATAATACCATAAAACTCATCAATTCGCAATTTTTTGAATTTATAAAATTACAAATGAGATATTTTACTCATTGTATGCCTTATAAATAAATTCTTATCCTATTTGTCATTTTATTTCTCTAATAGACAAGAAATGTTCCAATACATACATTTGTTCCAATATATACATTTTCAATACTCTCGTTCAATTGCTCTGAAAATGGTCGTTTAATATTAATGCAATTCAACCATTATAAATTCCTACTTTTAAAAAGACTTTATTTTGAATACTCTTGTGAATGAAAAGTATTATAAAATCTAGAAGTAAGCGACGATAATAATATTTAATTTCTATACAGCCATTTTTAAATATTATCTCTACATATAATAAAAGAAAGAGTATGTCTGTGTGTCTTTCGTTCGTGCTGTGCGTAAGTTTATAGACCCAGAGCTACGAAATTTGGTGTATAGGTGCATCTAGACAAGAAGCCAATGCACCTCGAAGTGATTTTTTTCAAAATTCGAATCAGATTTTTTTTATTTTATCTTTTCGATTTTATCGCATCATTTTGAATAGTTTTTCATTCTTTTAGAAATGTGGTTTTGGCAACAGTTTTTCATTCAATTCTTTGTATTCTGGACAGCCGACTGTTGAAAATAAGAGATAAAATGCTGCTTTTTTCCTTTTTAATTTTTGGACACGCACGTATTTCAGAATACGACAATAAAAATGCTAAGAGAGAATTTTTGAGCGACCCTTGAAACAGGTTTAGTTACACTCCCAAGAAAAGTTTCACGATGCATAGTTGTTCATGACGGATTTATTCCCTAAGCTTACGATGTATTCGAAGGTAAAGAAAAGAAAGGCGATTATCCATAGGATGGGGATAGGAATGCAGAATACTAAGAATAATTGGTTTATAAAAAAAATTGATGCCTAACTTGCAACCTAACAGTGTAATTGTGCTATTAATAGGGAGTATAATAGTTATTTTAATGTTGTATAATGGTAAGCAAATGTGATGTATAATAGTAGTCTTGAACCAGACTTCCTTAGTTGTAGAACTTTGTAAATACGTATTGAAATGTGTTGTTGTATTTAATGTTTTGAATTTACTCAGCATCCTAGCTCTGCTATATTATCTTCCTAATTTTCACTGTGACTACTCCCAAAGGTTATTGTTTAGTGTTCTTTTGATAAATTTTAGCGTTACAGTACAGCGTCAAGTACAGAATTGTCTACTTTTCCTGATACGCGCATTGTATAGGATGTGTTTTATTTGTAGTGTCAGCTATACTATGTGTTGTTCAGTATTCTAGTAATGTGTTTGTTTTTTAGTAATGGGTGGAATAATAGTATGTGTATACTTGTATAATAGTAAGTCAGTATTGTGTATAACTGCAGGCTTGAAATTCCATTGTTATTCTTAAATTTTATGGTTTTTGTTTTACCCAAACCAGTTTTGTATCCATGCAGCTCTGTATTTCTAAGTATTTCTTTTTAATCTATGCAATCAAGAATGTCATATGTATCCAAGATAGTCCTTAGTATTCCCTATCTAGATGTGACTCTGTAACTTATTTTACTTCCTTGTACGAAGTAAAAAGGAAGTATTGTAATCGCGAAAAGTTTCAGACAGCATATCTCAACCAAAATATCCATCCGCTATCGAATGAAATTTAACGATATTTTTGCGTGATATCTGTACGTAAGGAAAGAATAAAAGACTCTTTTCCTCCAAAAAAAATAATAAAACTGCTTTAAAATGAATTCTAAAGAGAATTTTTCGTGGCGTCTGTACGAACATATGTACGTACGTACGTATCTCGCATAACTCAAAAACAAGTAGCTTTAGAACGTTGAAAGTTTGTATATAGGACTTCTAATACATGTAGATGTGCACCTCGTATTTTGGTTGCAAACGTATATAAATGTATTTATATATATATATACACTCTGTTATGCGGCTCAGTGATCTCAGTTTCTTTACTCTTATATGTTTGTAAATTGCACATTTTTTGCTTTAAAAATGATTGAATTATGTTGCTTTTATCTTCCGGTTAAGGTTTTTATGCCTTTAGTAAATCTGTATGCAATATTTTTAGAGTTATCAACAATTTTGAAGTTGTTTAAGGGCCGCTAAGCCTAATAATGTTTTTGATGGCGGCCATTGCTTGTTTACATTTGAAACAGCAGAATAGTGGATTTGTTGCCAATCTAGAGAAACTTAGCTTCGCAACAACAAAGATAACGCCTTCATTTTTTTTTTTTTTTTAAATTTGGACTCAATAAATGCCGTTATTGCTTCTGCAGGGCGGACATCATACTGCAAGGGCTTGTTCCCGGCCAGTAGTCCTCCTTAGCAGAGTTAAAAAAAAGTGTAATTATGCTGGATAATGTGTCTTACCACAGCATTCCTTCTCCAAGTACTACATTTTACAAGATATATTCAACTTTGGTTGCCAAGAAAAAACGTTCTCTGGGAAACTGATATGTTGAAAGCAGAACTTTTAGTACTTGTTTCTAAGATTCGAAAACAATTTGAATTAAATTGTATTGATGCTGTAGCTGCTTAAAACCGATATATTGTGCAGCGTTTATCACTTTATCATTGTCAACTGAATCCAAATGAACCCATCTGGAAGAGTATGAAAGGATATGTAGCATCCAAACACAGAACTTTACCATAAACTGATTGAGAAAGGGGTTGATTTGCTAACTCACATGGAATGGATTAAATGCACGAGGCAGGTAAAAGAAGCAGAAAAGAAAATGTAGAAATTAGATTTCTGTTGAATAACACCGTTGAGCTCGTGAAATTTAATACTGGTAAGTCGGATAGATCAGATTCTTTAGACGATAATCTTAAGTTCCCACTGGGATTTATCTGAGCTAACGGAGTCAGTTCCATGTGTCGACTAGCTCTGCTATGCCTGCAGTTCAGATTTTTCAACTTGTTGCTCTATGGGAAAGAACTGGTTTTAGAGATGGGTCGGCTACGTCAGTTGTCTTCGTTAGCTTAGATAAACCCCAGTGGGAACTAACTACCCTTTAGTGGGAGTGAATACCTCAGTTTTAAAAAAAGGGCTCTTTTCAGGCACACAGATTAAAATAACAGAACCAGAAACAATTATAAACAACGTAAAAAATGCAAATTTCCAACGTGAGAGTCCCCCACCAGTGGCCGAACGGTTAAGGCATGTGAATACCGCTAATTCGAACTAGGCTTGAATCCATGCAAGTGGACTATTTCAAGGCTAGTTTTCGTGGCTTTCCGCATGGGTAATTAACTAAATTTTGGTAATCCGCCCCGTTCACTTAAGAACATTGCGGGGATAAAATTTTGACTCCCCTTGTCGAAAAGAGACGAAAGGAAATACCGGTCGTACCACGCGGCCTGTTAAGGTTGGGTGTTTTTCGCAATCTTCCTCACGTGTAACACTAATATGAGCAAGTTTCCCTTCTTAAATCCTCTACAGAAACATTCTTTCCTTAGGCAAATAGCTCTCGTGTGCTTAGCCATGCCCAAGTAGCCTAACCAAACCCATATATCATAAATCCATAATGAATAATTTTTATAATGTGTGGTTTTAGTGCGCTCTTTTAAGGTAAATTTTGAATTAGTAAAAAATGTAGCTTCATGAAGCGAATTATTAAAAACAATGTACGATTATGTTTTTATGTTGTTGTTAGCAATCTTTCTTATTAATTTCTATACATATTTTATTTGCAAGAAAGAAATTTCAGAAAAGTGAAAGAATTAAATTACATAATACAGAGGCTGTTCACACATTTTTTAGACGATGAATATTGTATTCACAAAACTAAATTACATAAAATTCTTGTGTTTTAAAATTTGATATCCCTTATTCTGAACTATCTTTCGACACCGCAATTTCCAGTATAATAATGCCTTTTGAAGTGGCAGAAGAAATATTCTATCCCATTCCTCCCGAACAGCTTTCCAGAGTCCTGTTAGGGTTTGGTTTGGACAGAGTTTGGGATAACGTTTGGATAATGCAGTTTTTAAAAGTCCGAAAGCACAAAAATCCATAGGTAGGGATACCAATGCAGTAGGGATACATGCAGCATCGGGAGATTTAGTAGGGATATCAAGTGAAGGGTATGGCTTTGATGCCAGTTTTTTGTTCCATTTCTTTTAGGAAATTTACAGTGGATTTTGATGTGTGACTGCTAGCTCTGTCCTGATGGAGTCTCACAGATTGGATGGCACTGTGGGTAAAGCGATGGTATTTTCATTCAGAAAAATTGGCGATGAAATATGTTCCTAACATAGTATTTGGAGTTAATCTTGACATTTTTTTGCACTCTCTTTATTTTTAACTTGCTATTATAAGAAAAACCAGCAACAATCATGAATCCCTTAGAAAAACTTTCTTTCGATTCTTTAAACCATGTACTTAAATTTTTTTCTCCCCTTTTATGATAATAAATGGCTCTTTTTTTGTTACAATCATTTAAATACACCCATGCTTCATCCCATTGTGACAATTGTTTTCTCTTTTTCTTTGGATAAGTGTTTCTCATATAGAATTCTGTAGCGTGTTCTGCGTTGAGCGATATGCTTTGGAAGAAGAAGATGCACATTGCGTTTTTTCGCTTTCTTAAGATTTAAATCAACGTTCATCATTTTGCTTACAGTGGACACCGAGCATTTTAATGATTTTGCAACTGTCCTTTGACTAGGGGGATTTTCTTTTAACATTAAACAACATACCTTTGCAATAGTCGAAGATGTCCATTTTTTCCTTGGATACTTGTTTGCAATTTTTGTGTCCCACTTGAGGCTCCAATTTGACGTTTTTTTTTCCTTTCTTGTTGATGATATTACCTATCGACGCTTTAGATATCACAAAACCATGACTCTCACATCATTTATGGATAAAGGAGTATGCATATTTCTCTTCGGAAAGAGCGTAAATGTAGCCTTCGAATCACTGCTTTGTTAAATTCGCCATTTTGAATAAAAACAAAACTTTCAAGCCACAGACGATAATTTTGACTTTTAAAAACATAGTACAATTGCAATTACTTCTTTTGCAGCA